ATCAAAAACAACTATTTTGGTCGCATTAGGATTCCAACTAGTTTTTACTTAGTAGCATATAATCAAGACGTCTTCATCTAACAACATTTGCACAATTACAAATGCCAAACATCGGATGATAACTTCAGTCCTAAATGCGTCCAGTTCATGTCATTTTTTATTTGTTTAGAAATACGTCAGTTTCTTCGCCAAACAAAATTGTTAGCTTTTGTCCACAAGACGGAAGTAGATTAAAGACACATTCCCGCGTACAAATTGGGTGATCTGATGATATTTACTGAGCACCATGGAAAACGCATCACTTAGTTTTTCGTATAACAAAATGATCCTGTAAACATATCTTATTTATTTTGCTTCTTATTGTGAACAATATTCAAACGTAAACACATCAATAACAACACATTTGTACACTTATGGATGTTTAATCTGTAATCAACGGTACAAAGTCAGAGGGGTCAAAACCAAAAGTACGACACAGATGTCAGTAGCACGTGTGTCCTCCACGGGATTTTACGCACGCTGTGCAGCGACGTCGCATGGAATTAACCAATGTTTGAAAGAAGGCCTGGGGCAAATTGTTCCATTCTTGGACAAGAGCAGCTTCTAAAGCAGCAATGGTGTGCATCTGTCGTCTCCGATACAGACAGCGTCCAATCTCATCAAAGACATGTTCTATCGGTGCCATGTCCGGAGACATGGCTGGCAAGTCCAAGACATTCATGTTGTTAGCAGCCAGGTAGTCCATACTAAAACGGGCGGTATGCGGACGTGCATTATGTTGTAAGTGCTGAAGTTGTGCGTGCGCTCGAAACATCGGAACAACAATTGGTTGCAAGACATCATCCCGGTAGGCTACAGCATTAACGCGACCCCTGCAAATGTGTAGGGCGGTCCGGTGATGAAATGTGAAGCCTCCCCGCACCATTACACTTCCCCCACCACATCGATTCGTTTCGAAGACCAGCAGTCTGCAAGACGTTCCCCAAGACGTCTCCACACACGTTGACGGCCATCAGCATGATAAAGATGAAAGCGACTCTCATCACTGAAGAGCACACTTTGCCAGTCTACTCTTCTCTATGTCTGGTGTCCTTGAGCCCATATCAAACGCCGCTGACGGTCCCTGAGGATAGCTCCAACATAAGGTCGTCGTACACGGAGTCCTAATTCTCTTAGACGACGTCCTTGTCTTTCGACGACTGCATCTGGGCGGGATCTGTCACGCAGATGAATGACCCGGATGTAGCGGTCTTGAGCCTGGGTTGCAACGCGTTGTGGACCAGGACGTTGACGGTCACGTGTTGATCCAGTAACTCGAACACGTTCCACCAACCTTACAATAGTGGACTGATGACAATTGAAGTTGATTTTCAGTAAGTCTCGGCATCTCTAGCTCGATTCCTTCACACGTCCAACAGTTCATGTACTGCACATTAAGTTGAAAACATGCTTTTAAAGGCAAATGAAATGAAATGGGGTTTAACGTCTTACTGTTTTGCTCCTAAACTGGGATAATGAAGACGGGCATACGCCATACAGTGTGCTATGAGGGAAATTTTGCCCGGGCAGCGGCACTACGGCCTAATCTTATATCGAATTCCAACTGCCAAGGGATCTTTTACGTGCACGCCAATGTGTACTCGGAACCTCGGGTTTTCGTCCCATCCGAACGACTAGACAGCTGTCCTTGTCAGGCCCTGAATCCTGCATCACTGACAAGGGGGAAACCACGCCGGAAAATCTTGATGAACTTTCTTGGCCAATGCAGGGATCGAACACCCGACCTCCAGGCTAGCGAGCCAACGCCTTACCCACTTAGCGGCTCACACACAATACTGCACGTGAATATTGGGTTTTTCATGTGAATATCTCGTGCAATTTTTTTTTGTGCATACCGGCCGATATGTTTTGCGTTTGGGAGCATTGTGTGAAACAATAGTTCATAGTATTGCATAATATTATACATACAAAACCACCTACTAATAAAATATTTGGGAAAAAAAGTGATGCGTTTTCCATGGTGCTCAGTATATTTGGACTAAAACATATTCAAACTAATTCATTTATCATAATTTTGCTTCAAATCATTCTCACCACTGCTACAAAAACAAAATCGGCCAAAAAAGGTCATGTTTGTGTCACGTGACTTACTTGTCATTACCTAGCAACTGGTGCGAAGCAGGAGGAGAATTCATATACAATGCATATGCAAGACGGTGTTGTCTTTAATCACTAACTATTTATTACAAGTATCGAACCCCAATACATTCTCGGATTATCCACTGCCCCTGTTTTTTCTGTGGTTTTTAACTCAGAAACTGTTGCATCATCAAGTTTATCAACATAACATTATACATCAAGCACTCACTAATGCTGGTTTATGCTATCTTCGTGCGCTACCTTTGACGTTACTCGAGCGGACATCACTAATCGTCGGGTTGCCGGTTAAGGAAACCCTTACCTTTTTACCCTGTATGCATGTTTCTACTTTCCATATGTACCTAAATTGCCAAACTTTTCTTGGAAATAAACACCCCATAAATCTTTTCTGGAAAAGTATTTTTAAAAGCTACCTGACCGATAGTTTGATTGCATTTCGACTTTTAATCCCAAATTCAAAATGCTGTCTGTATATATTTTCAGTGGTCATTTGGACGTTAATGAATGTGATATATGTTATGGTATGTGGCCTTAAACTAACAAATCCAAAATTATTTTACCTCTCTGGGTCGAACACTCGCTGCAAAATGGCCATTTTAAAATTAAGGTGCAGAAACAGCCCATACATTAAGTATTTTTTTCAGGTTTTCGGGTGCTGTTAACTCACATTTCTAATACGAGTAGAACTCACACCCAGTGCAGTGCGGGATTTACACTTTTCGCACCACTAGGTGGCAAAATGTGGAAAAAATGAACTATCCTTAGGGTATAGGGAATAAGTATGAAACATTTTCAAGACGATCCGTTAAGAATTGCCGCCTGTACACACACACAGACACAAAGAAAAAAATGGGCGTGTTTCTGCCCTTGAGGGTTGGGCAGTGGGTAAGTTTCAAGAGATGCGTTAAGAATTGCGTCCTGCAGATTTTATCTGTCTAATGATTGTGAAACTACACTACCGTACTTCAACGTTCTAAAGACAAAACAGGTTTTCCCCAGATTTTTAAAGCAAAATTAACTTAAAACGATATTCCCTGGAGCCGACAAAATTCAATATTCGTATTCTATGATAAGAGTTGCTCTAAAGAGGGTCAACCTAGCTCAAAATTGTACCAATTTTCTCTTATATGGTATCAGTGCATGTATACCTGGTATCATCAGAATGTAAGTCAGTCGAGTATCTGGTGTTAGGTTCTATTGTGATTTTAGGCGTTAATTCTTTCTTGGACTAGATTAGCTCAAAAATGTACAACAGTGTACCTTACATCTTCAAATAATACAAAACACTCGTGACAGAAATTTCTAGTTGTGTGGTACCTGTGAAAGATCTATGTAACTGCAAGACATTTGTAGTGGTGGAGATCCCTGACAAAGAGTTATCTAATAACCAGACCACAGCTAGGCTAGATTAGCTAAAATCTGTACCAACTAAAACAGCTTTGGAGTTGTTCAGCACCACCACAGGAATCATGAATAACCATTGCCAGACAGTTTGTGCGGTGGGTTACCCCTAACAGACACGCCCCAAAATGCCACGCCCCAACTAGGCTAGATTAGCGGGCACGGTTCCCGTGTTCCAAAATTACTTTATTTCGTCAGGATGCATAGAATACTGATACCTAGCACGTGTGGAAGAAGCGATAAACTGTGGTATGTAATTGTATTACATAGAATTGTGACCTGTATATCACTTATAATAGTCCAATGTATGTTTTGTGGGTGTACCTTAAATGCATTTAATGAAATTGACAATAAAGTGACCTATTTAATTCCTTCTGGTCCAACAACGTCCGTTCAACAGGTTTAAGTCACTGTGGGTTATAATGCGTACGGCTCATATGAGTCAAGAGATGTGATTTCGATCGCTCACTTGTACGTGACCGGGATTAGGGTTGCATATCCAACCTCGTGGGGTTTCAGCACGTCTTTGCTGGCGTCGTCTCACTGCTAAAGATTCCTACGAGCAAGCGAATTATTAAACAAAAAATGAAATTATATCCCCATAATGACCTAGTGTATATGAGTGGACGTTAATCTCTCTCTCGTAAATTGCTACTTCTGGCGGATTATGTTACCTGTACGTCTAATAATACTACTTCAATAAGGTATCTGATTGGGTTAAGATTTAGGTCATGTGATCGTGCCTGAGCCATGTAATAATATCGTATGCGGTAATTCACCTCCATCTGAAATTATCAATTTTCATATAAATCGCAGTAATTGTTTCTTCACAATGTGACCTAGATACATATGCAAAGAAAGTTCATGTAGACCTACAAACAGAAAATTGTATTTACCCTAGTGAAGCCACTAAATTATGTCATACGCAACAGATGGTGTTTTTTTGTACCACACCGTACTCACTAGTTAGTCCCAAAGGATCGTTGGTTTCGGTGTGAAGATGACCTCCGTCGATTTTGAGTATGTTCACAAGGCTGGTTCGAGAGTTATGTGCGCTGGTAGATTTATTGTTGGTGAAATCATTACCGTACTCCCTCCAGAAGGTAGAGTTAAGAGTCGATTTTCAAACAATTTTCAGAAAAGGTTAGTATTGGGGAAAAGAGTATGACCATCGATATTGGGCATTTATGCAAAAGCAGTTCCCGGGTTTATGCCTACTAAATACGGTAGTTGAAAACATCCATCTCCGTACAGGTTTAAGGGTTTTGTAGATTTTCATCAAATATTGAAGAACGAGTTGTGGTAAAGGTGGTCCGCATTAATTTCCCAATGACTCAAGGATTTTAGAGCTGTAACTAGATATTATTACATTATTCGATCTTCTAATTATAAGCTGCAAGATTTTTTAATACGTGTCTTAATGAAAATACAACATAATATTTAGTTTTGAGGTTATTTTAATAACATAGTATGTACATGACTGATTTCAGAGTAGAATATAACTAATGTCAGAACATGACATTGGTAAATATTAGTTTGATTAGCACAGGCATGCATGAGAATAGAGCAACCTTTCAATAAGGTGGGTTGGTAATGGCTTTCAAAAGTATCGTACCATCTGGTACACTGTTTATTGCACGAACTTGTGACTATAAAGTATCACCTAATAGGGCTTGATTGATTACTGAAAGTACCATCTACCACGTGGCGTTCTAGACTGGTCCTTTACCTTCAGAGCAATTTCGACAAAACAATAGATGTCGGAACAACACGGAAACACTTTTTCAGTGACACTCGAGGAAGACTCAACAAGTTCCCACCTCCAACCGCCCTGAAAATCAGTTACATCAACGTAGGATTCAGTCCGAGTAATATTTAACTGGTTACAAGGATAAGCCCAAGAACCAAATTTAATACTGCAATTGAAGGTATCTCCTGTTGGGTTGGTATTCGGGCAGAAACTCTCAATATCGACAAGGGGTATACAGAAAATGTTTCCAGTATTGTAAATTACACAATTAATATCAGCATCTACGGTCATACCGTGTCGGGCTCTGAAAAGTTAACACCGGTAATTATTACGTGATATAATAAATAGAACACAGGTTGCCAAGAAGAGACATATACTGACATGGAATGAAGGAGGGTGGGGAATTCATCTATAGGCTTAACTTGTAATTTTCATTCCAGATCCAGCTATTAAGGGATATCTACCTGTGACTTAAGTAACTTCATACACAGAACAATGGTTTCTATATCCAACATACCACAAACGAGATAACGACATTTTTTTCATAATTGTAATCGTTTATGTATGTGGACTGTTGTATATTTTACAATGTTTTATAATATGATACAACAAGTATATCAGAATGTAGAGTTAACGAGTAACCACAAACCGAGGCACATTCTCGGACAGCTCCGGGGACCTTTTGAATAACAGCCAGTGCCATGCACATCCTATCTCTTCCGATAATTCAAACCAAAATCAAATTGGAAATAAAGAATGGATGAAATGGGGATTGAAAGTTGTATGTTTCTCTTCCAACAGGGATAATTAAGACACGGTTAAATGGGTGGTTATTTCATTAATAATATACTTTAACTGTATATAATATATTAATACATATATATCTAACACATACTCGACCCAAAATATATTAATAAATACTAACCCATTAAACAACTTGAAGTCGGGCTGTGTTATGTAAGCAGCAGGAATATTAGATTTTCTAATGCCACCGTAATCTTCAGGGTCCCAAGCAAATCTTGCATCGTCCCAATTAAGTGATAACCATGCCGTCAAATCCAACACTTGATTCTTGGGGTTCTTGAAAACAATGAAAGTAAAAAATTGAAATGAATCAAGGGACGTTTTTAAATTAAATATACCGGTGTCTCACTCAATAAGATAGGAAAAGAAATGAAATATCCTACTGTTCTGCTCTGAAATGGGCTAATGAAAACGGACATAATAAGGGTTTTTATAAAGCGCTAGACTCCAACCAATATTGTTTGCTCAAAGCGCTGACAAAGTTTACAGGAAACAGTTATAAATATTGAAACTGAAACAGGTAAGTTTTGGGTTTTGTTTAAAAAAGATGCTTAGATGAATTTTACTACAGTACAATATGCTTACTACGTTCTTATTTCTTGTAGCATATAGCAGATCATGACTCGTACTGGCATTACACAATGGTTTCTTTGGGCTGTATTCCGGATTGTTTTCAAATTGGAATGAACGCTTACGTCTAGCCCCCAGATCCATTCACTTTTTTTGAATTGTTTTTTTTTTGGTGGTTTCTGAGTATGATGTTATGTCCATGCATTTGTTTCCGTGTGAATTATGTGTGGTGTAGTCCCCTTGCACTTACTAATTAGAGATGGATCAGTCCGTAGAAGAAGTGATAGAGAGTTCCATGTATGTGCTGCATTATAGCATAGAACTCGAATACTTCAAGTTCTATGATTACAGGCAAATGATCTGCAGCCAAAAGTTTTCAGATTATACTTTGTAACATTTGTTAATAAACACTGGGAACCAGAACGAAGTTATCTAGATGGAGAGTATTTATGGCGATTTGTGCAGCTGTATTCTGAAGCTTTTAATTTTCAGCAATGATACCAGCCAAGAGGCTGTTGCAGTATGGGGAGCGGTCATTTTGTCCGGCAGTCTTCGTCCGATTTCACAAAATTCGAACTCAACCGTCATAATGGTGTAACGGTGATTTATTTTAACGTCTTTTTCAATCGGATAGAAATTGAAACTTCGAATAAACATTGTGACCTGTAGAGTGTCTACAAACCAATTGTTTTCAGATTATACTTTGTAACAGTTGTTAATAAACACTGGGAACCAGAACGAAGTTATCTAGATGGAGAGTATTTATGGCGATTTGTGCAGCTGTATTCTGAAGCTTTTAATTTTCAGCAGAGATACCAGCGAGGAGGCTGTTGCAGTATGGGGAGCGGTCATTTTGTCCGGCAGTCTTCGTTCGATTTCACAAAATTCGAACTCAACCGTCATAATGGTGTAATGGTGATTTATTTTAACGTCTTTTTCAATCGGATAGAAATTGAAACTTCGAATAAACATTGTGACCTGTAGAGTGTCTACAAACCAATTGTGGACGGACGTCAAGACAAACTGGGGCGACGAGAACATAGTTCGACATGGAAATGTGGGCGTTTAAGAATGCCCAATGGCACTGATGATGATACGAAGTAAAGACGTACACGACAAGATGCCCTCGCGATGGTCGTATGAATATGAAGGGTAAAATGGACCTTCGCACTAAGTCGGCAATTTTTTGGCCTGTCAAAGTTTATGCCAGCGCTCAAAGACGTTGCTGCCGGAACCCGGCTTTAGATGCTCTCACGATTGGGGTGATGGTTTTACGATCCGAGCCGAATTTGGACACTTACTCGGTCGTGTGTCAATCTGGTGTAAATTTCGGGACAGTGTGACACCCATATTAGAAACGTAAATATAAATACAACTTACATAATCAACAATATTTAATAGGTGGAGGTTTACTTTCACTGAAGTCGATTCCTTTGGATTATCTGGGATTATTTCATGTACTGATTTAGCAACATCTTTTAAATGGGATGCCAGTTTTTCTCTTTGACAACAGGCTGAAAGAAATTTAATTTTCTTGTCATAATCTGTAGTGGAAGATGGGGGCCTAGCTGTTAAGATTGATGCCCCACATTGCATTCACTAATGACAGCCACACGCAGGTGTTAGTTTTGTGGGTGTCTTGTGACTGTAATTAAATGGTGGCTTATTTAAAGTCTTTTGTCCCGACGTCCGTTAAACTCCCTTGAAACCATTACTGCTTATGAGTACGACTCGTTTCATATGGAATCTTGATATCTACAATGGACTGACATAAATCGCCTTTACTTACATGTAACTGTATATATGAATATTTTGAAACATTTGTATAGATGAGGACACGTAAAGAAAGTAAAACATTATTATTAGTAGTAGTATATCTAATCATCACACACACTAGATGTAACTGTATAGTAAAATCAGGAAATTTGTTTCTTACGGACCCAGGAATGTCCCCAACGTTGTATTTTAGTTCAGTTACTGAGAGCACTACCCTCATCAGATTGATGATGAAAAGTCAAAAAAAATTATATCTTATCAAACATTATCATTGTTTCAAATGATAACATTAATGTTTTACAATTCCATATGTTTATTCCGACCATTGCATACCATTTGACTAAAGTTTATTCCTTACCTTGAGCTATAATAACCAGAAAAACACAGACGCTTATCTTTATCGCCATTTTTAGACTGTATATATCTCTCGAAATCTATTAACACTATATTATCTGAAGCGGCGTGGCTTTTATAGGCCTTATCATAATTAGGTATCTTCTCATTGATACATGAGAACCCCTTGTTTTCATTTGTTTTTATCAAACCAATTATACCATATCTGCAAAAAAGGTCAGGCACGTGACTTGAAATGAATACTCAGCTAAACTGAGTTGTGCTGCACCTTTAGAGAGAGAGAGAGAGATGGGGTTTAACGTTCACTCGACACAAACTAGGTCATTTCGGGACTAACATGGTGGGTTTTTTTAAATTTTATTTCAATAATTCGCTTGCGCGTAGGGGTCTTTAGCAGTGGGAGGAAGCCGGAGGACCCGGAGAAAACCACACCAGTTGACTCAATGACAGGCTTTATGATAAAGCGCGCACGTGCTAACCATTCGGCCATCCAACCCCCCAGATACTTTTAGAGGACAGGCTCTTTGAATTTGTTATAATCGACTTTTAACGTCTCGACGATATTTCACCTAGTATAGGTTAATTTAAGACTAAAACTTTATATTTTAATTAACTGCGTGGGAACGACAGACTTGTCTGGACAGTCATAATGTGGACATATTATGTGGTCGCCACTGTTTCTGTGTGTGTGTGTGTGCAATGGAATTTATTAGAGGATCTTCATTAGAAAAGACAACTTTTAACCGAGGACCAAAAATCTTTCACATGACCCAAAATTCGACGTAGACCACCAACGAAACTTAAACCTTATTTAGAAGATCTGGGCTAGGGGCTATATGTAATCTATAGGTGGTGTTGTATTAACTTTTAAGCATAGAATTTCTTTAATTTTAAACCTGTGGGTTTGGCGCTGGCTCGCTAACATGGAGGTCGAGGGATCGATACCGGTGTTCGCCGAGAAAGTTCCTGGTTTCCTCTTGTCATTATAGTTGTTTGGATGTGAAGAAACACTGAAGTGCCGTGAACATAAAACGTAAAAGATCCCTTGGACTTGACGGTTGGAATTAGATATAAGAGTAGGCCGTAGTGCCGCTGTCCGAGCAAAACTTCCATCATAGCACTGCATTGCGTATGTCCGTCTTCATTAGCCCAGAGCAGAACAGTAGGACGTTAAACCCCATTTCATTTCATTCCATCTGTCGTGTATTACTTTTCGCGTCTTTCGTTCTGAGATCGATGCGGATAAGCATGATAGGTATCTATAATATGCCTATTTTCACGCCTTGAACAAGCATACAGCAGATTGTTATAGACGATTTTAATTTTAAAGCTTTAGGAGGTGTATTTATTACCTGCCAGCTAAGTCAACATCATTTTGTATTTTTAATTTTAAGTATGGACTAATTATTTTTCCAAATGAAAAATGAAATTAGTTTACATGATGAAAATGATATCCTTGAAAAGGTAGTAAACTTTTGTAATTTCTATTTCCTGTGATTTTTTCATTGACTGTCTTCAGAAACATGAATAACATTAGTCCTTCAGTTTCAGTCAGGATAGGTGAGTATAGGCTATAAAGATTGTAAATTTTCACTGTCGGTTTTTAATTGTCATTATCTAAATTTGAACAAAGAGGATATCTATAGTGATCGCAATGTTAATTATGTACATGTACTATAAGCTAGGCCGTGATGATTAAATTTTGTAACATTAATTATTAATATGCAAGTACTGTTTCAGCTGTTTGGGGCAATCAGTAGTTTGGTATATTATTGTCCGTGCAGTAGCTAAATAAGTGTGCCTCCATGAGTTGGTGAGAGCTATTTTTATACGCCCACATTTTCATGTGGACGTATATTGTCGTCACCCCTTTTCGGACGTCCGTCCACAATTTGTTTGTGGACACTATACAGGTCTATCTCACAAAGTTCTCGATTCCTTTCAATATTGACATGTATCGGACCATAACGTCATGAATTATGGCCCCTGATTAGTTCCAGGAAAGCTTGATTGTGATAATTGTCTGAGGAAAAAAAGGAACTTTCCAAAAGGTCGTGGTTAGACATCAAAAACTTTGCTATTCAGTCCCGAAAGAGAAAGATGAGACATTTTTAACTTAATGTTGCATACTTATTTCATGATATTTTATATCCAAAATCTTGTTTGTGGACACTATACAGGTCTATCTCACAAAGTTCTCGATTCCTTTCAATATTGACATGTATCGGACCATAACGTCATGAATTATGGCCCCTGATTAGTTCCAGGAAAGCTTGATTGTGATAATTGTCTGAGGAAAAAAAGGAACTTTCCAAAAGGTCGTGGTTAGACATCAAAAACTTTGCTATTCAGTCCCGAAAGAGAAAGATGAGACATTTTTAACTTAATGTTGCATACTTATTTCATGATATTTTATATCCAAAATCTTTTAAGGCCCTGTTTTATTTTGTTAACTTTAATAATTAGTTTAATTAAGGTATTACTTCTTAATTATTCAAGGAAAAGAACTGCACATGCAGTTACCCAACTGAGTTTTATTACCAAATGTAGATCAGCCCAGTTATTTCATGTGTTTTCTTTAATTTAAATGACAATTAATTAAAATTTCCCTCGTTTGAAAGTATAGAGGGAAATTATTGTATTAACGTTACGAGTATCAATCACTGGCACGTGATCTGCGTCACATGATAAAGGTGGAAGTTAGAAATTCATTCTTCTAGCCCACCTCGAGTTAACAACAACAATGGACGACGTAACCAAGGACGCTATACCCCACGAAGTCCAAACAGCTATCAATAGAAATCAACAAGGTTTGCTTAATAACTTAACAGATCTTATAAATTCCAAGTTAGACACTTTTAAGAGAAGTATTACCCGCTGACAGCAAGAAACTTCGAACGATCAGGTCATAAGAATAGAAGGGAAGATAACCGATAATTACACGTTTAGTAGAAAGGTGAATGAAATTCAGTACAGACACGAATCGAAGGTTTTAGCCAAGCTAAAAGAAGCCAAATCATCTTTAGATAAAGGAGATGGCTGGCTTAATGGTTAGCACGTGCGCGCTGTATCATAAAGTCTGTCATTGAGTCAATGGCGGGGTTTTGATTCCCGGTTGTACGTGACAAGGAGTATAGTCGCCTGTCCAACCTCGTAGGGTTTCTCTGGGTCCTCCCACTGTTATAGACCCCTACGCGCAAGCGGATTATTGAAATAAAATTGAACAATGTGTTAGTCCCGAAATGACCTAGTTTGTGTCGAGTGGACCTTGAACCCCATTTCTCTCTCTCGAAAAAGAAGAACTAGATTTAGACTGTCGACGCTGCAAAATCCAGTATATTAGAATAGGGTTGGGACAATCGACATCGGCTACAAACGCATTTCATTTTTTGAGGCGAAATAGACCACATTTTATGATTTTAGTCGAAATAGTGGTGAAAACTGAGTTTTTGGGTTGGGGCAGCGGCCATTTTCAAAATGGCTGCAAAAAGCTATTTTTTCAGTTATTATCAATATAACTTGCGAAGATAGGCGTGTTAAATGTCTTTTTGCAGGTTTTCGGGGTGCTACGTTCACAAAATGATGTTTCGGCACAATCCGATAAATGGCCGCCATCTTGGATCCAATACGGCGGCCAAAATGTCTAATTTTACCCCTTTTTCTCATTTAACCGCATTTCATGCCATGAAATAAGTTTTTTTAAGGGATTTCGGGTGTGCTGTCAGCTCAAAAAAGTATGTTCCGACAGTCCGGTACAATTAGATAAGTGGCCGCTATCCCAGATCCAAAATGGCGCCGAAAATGGCAAATTTGGCACTTTGTTCTTCATTATTCCTTTTTCCATGACGGATAATATGTTTTTATAGGATTTGAGAGGTGGCGATTTCAAAAATAAAAGTTTTCACAAATTCCGATATTTGTCCGCCATCTTGGATCGAATATGGCGGCCAAAATGTCTAACTAAACATGTTTTCTCAATTATTCGGTTTTCATGCCATTAATTTGTTTTTTGTAGGTTTTGGTGTTGAAAATTGCTATAAACGAGGCTAGATTCACACAAAGACTCCAGAAACGTTCTAAAAATATATAGAAAGTATTTTAGAACGTTTCTGGATTTTCTGTTTGACTCTAGCCTCGTTTATAAAAATATTTATTTCATAAGTGTTTGCTATAGTATTTGTATTATTATTCAGTACTGTCGTCACTTCTTGATTGATCTTCTGCGATTTTGAAATGATAATAAAGATGTGATAATATATATTTTAAATGAAAATTTACGCGAGATTGTTTTCATTTCCTAGGACTTTTGCCGCTATATTGGAACCAAGTTTGCAGCCTAGGGTGACAACGAAAACATAAATTTTGTCTGATACACGGGTCAGGTTGGTATATGTTGAGGTTAGGTGCACTGACTATGCCCACCAATTTTCAACATAATCGTATGATTCTCTAAGGGTGCCAGCCATTTTGGACTTTTTCCTTTACAAAAATGAAGGCCTAGCAGGAAATTGTACTTCCCGAGTTTGGAGTGCCAATTAGTGTCCATTCTCGATATCTACTGGGTCGATTTACTAAATTATTTTTTTTTCAAAACGTCTATAGGGCCAACCGTTCGAAAGTTATAGCCACTTGAAGGTCTCAGCAACCTCGTCCCCAGGAATCTGAAAATTGCTATAAATGAGGCTAGAGTCATACAGAAACTCCAGAAACGTTCTAAAATACTTTCTATAGATTTTTAGAACATTTCTTGAGTCTTTGTTTGACTCTAGTCTCGTTTATAGCAATTTTCAACCACCAAAACCTACAAAAAACAAATTAATGGCATGAAAACCGAATAATTGAGAAAACATGTTTAGTTAGACATTTTGGCCGCCATATTGGATCCAAAATGGACAAATATCGGAATTTGTGAAAACTTTATTTTTGAAATCGCCACCTCTCAAAACCTATAAAAAGACATATTATCCGTCATGGAAAAGGAATAATGAAGAACAAAGTGCCAAATTTGCAATTTTCAACCACCAAAACCTACAAAAAACAAATTAATGCCATGAAAACCGAATAATTGAGAAAACATGTTTAGTTAGACATTTTGGCCGCCATATTGGATCCAAGATGGCGGACAAATATCGGAATTTGTGAAAACTTTATT